GGATCGATTTAATACGTCAGTTCAACTGGCGTTTCATCTACTACACAGGAATGTCTACAGTATCGGCACGATAATGGGTGACAAAGTGGGCTATCCTCAGCAAATTGTTATAAAAAATCGAGACCGACCCAAAAGCATACCGCACGGTACAACAAGAATGGCAGTGGCAAAAGCTTGCCCCCTAATGACGGCTTTAGTGTTGTGGGATAGAAAACCCGTGCAATTCTTGGGGACTGGATCGAGCCGTGCGATGGAGGAGTGTCGTACGTATATGCAAGAGGAGTGCTGTTTCCTATTCATCTAATCTATGTTGTGCTTGTTATCAGAGAGGCGTACACGTGGAACACACGGCAGACAGACTGATGTCCCTTGTCCTGCTATGATTCGAGACTATCACAAATGGATGGGGGACGTGGATGTCCATGACCAGCTGCGCCTCCAGCGTTACTCGTTGCAGTTGCAGACTTGGTGCAAGAAATACTACAAGTCCATATTCTTGGGGCTTGTGGATGTGGTGATTGTGAATGCGTATATCATCTTTCGTGAGGCACAGAAGCGAAATGGTGGGTCTTCAATGTCGCACGCATAATTCCTAGTGGAGCTTCATGCCCAGCTGCTTGCTCTGACCAAGTACGACTTCGATGAAAGTGTAAGTCCTGATGTTGTATCTGTATCATGTTGGATAATGCTGACATGTTGTATGACCCACATGCTGTATGTTGACAGCCAAGACCACAAGAGACCGCAGCTGGCGACGAGCTTCCACCCTTGCCACCTGGCCACGAACCTCGGAAATGTCCTGAGTACCAGATCGTGAAAGGCGTGCGCAAGCGCCGGCAGCGCCAATGCAAAGTGTGCGCAATTCTGAAGCGCCGGGTGGGAGAGCGCCGAGCCACCAAATACTATTGCGATGCCTGCAGCACTTCTGATAAAGCTCGGTACGTACGAATTCGATATGGCTGAAACGACTACTAACTGTTCCTCGTTATGTACAGCATGTATCTGTGTACTTGTATTTGGCCGCACCACTATCCTGGCAACGCTCTGAGCTGCCACCAGATCTGGCATCACAAGTGGGAAAATGGAGCGAAATGCCCCAGGGCGCGATGTGGACGAGGATTCCAGAATCGCGAGGCTGGAGGAAAGGGTAAGCGCCGCCGCCGAAGTAGTGATGGAGAGGAGGAGGAAGGTATTAGCGAGGGGAGCGACAGCGACAGCGTAGCGCACGACGACGACAGGGAAGGTAGCGAGACTGAGTGAGCCGATAACTGGTGGTGGATGAACGTAGTGCTGCAATATGTGCTTTTTCTTACTGTATTCAATTGATGTGTGTTTGGTTTCGCTTTTCGTTGTCTTCAAACTTCCCAGCTTTGCACCGGTTTAATAGGCTTCGTACAGTCTCTTGATAAAAGATACATCGACACCTTTTTTTGAAACCTCCATCATGCTGGATGTACGCCATATTCAAGCAGTCTGCCGGTGTATATACAACTTTGATCTGGTGTACATACAACATGGTGACGGGATTTGTAGAAATTGTCTTGTTGCGCATGTACAAGAAAGGTGCTCGGAATTATACGAGACTATAGTAAAGTCAAGTGTAGTACTATGTTGGATGATTTGAAATAACGTAAAAAAAACGGCTTGGGCGTTGGGGGGGTTAATGCCGAATCACCTGGATTCGATATAGCAAGTCCTGTACGCCCACGAGGTCACCCGAAACAGAAGTCAAAGACTAAGAAAGCGAAGAGGGATGTACCCATCCTAATGGCACAATATGTTTCGATTCTTCACAACTCTCAAAACAATTAAGGTCCTCCTTTCACACGAGTCTACCTACGCATCATATGCGGAGCCGCTACGCCGATTCCAGCTATTTGTTTTTGATAAGAAGATGAAGCCCCCAATACATTACGTCATTTCGCAGCTGCCGGCTAGCAAAGTTATCATGAATTTAGCAGACATTTCTCGTATTATGACCAAAGAGATACTCCAGCGAGCGAGCAAAAAGGTAGTTGCCCTACAAAAGAAGCACGAGAAACTGCCAGAGCTAGACTTTGCAGTGGATTTTCCTGGTCTATTTGTAACCGGGATGCAGACACTGAGAGCCATGAAGCTATGGCACCAAGCAGTCAAAGAGCTTAACAATATCGAGAGAGCCATAAAATGGATTTCAGAAATTAATTTCTCGCTGGATATTTCGCCTGTATTCCGGGTCGAACAAGACGCAGAATTGGCGTCAAAACTAGAAAAAATTCCGATTTTCTCTGAAAGGGTAAGCACTTTGCATATTTTAAGGATTGTAGCAACTGACACTGTGCATGCATATTTTGTAGATTCGGATCGTTGACTTTGCATGAGATCACTACTTAGTGACACTGCGTTGACAGAGGCAATGACAAAGCTATTCAGTCAACAAGAGGAAGTCATGGCTGTTGATCCAGCGATATGGGGTGTCATGGGGAGAGGAAATGTGAGCATTCCAGACGAAGAGCTAGCACGCATGCTCAGTTGTATTACTAAGCAAATTATTCTGCTTCCGGTTACCTGCATCGGCATGCACTGGCGTGGTATCATGGTCGACTCAGCTAAGACAGCTATCAAGTACTATGGTTCCATGAGCAGCAGCTACGCTGGCACCATGAGAACACTAGCGCACAAACTTGTGCAACATATGCCAACTACACCAGGATGTTACAGAGTGGATCCCGATGTTGCGGATGCTGGAGCTCAACTAGACAGCTACCACTGTGGAGGGTACGTTCTGCTTGCATTCGAAACGTTCTGTAGTGGAGAAAGCACAGGTGAATTGCGTAAGAAGGCACTACAGTACCGGCGTTATCGCTGCTTGCATGTAAAGCAATATACTTTGTTTAACTTCAATTATATAGTTTTTGTCAAACACACTGAATTAGAAACATCACAGAAAGGCTAGATTTATGAGGTTAGCCTCGGCCTTGAGGATGACTTCGCTTTTGAGGATAACTTCGTTTTCAAAACTAATGCCGTGCTAAGCCCGGTGAAGCTCTGGATATTACGGTATTTTCAAAAAGTAATAACTAGTGCGGAATGAAGGACTTTTAGAAGAAAAAAAGGAGAAGAATTGCGATTTAACTAAGACTTCCAGTCTAGAAGAAGACATCAACAAACCGAGCGAGAATGATAGTCTTCCATTTGAGTGGCTATCCCCGAACTTCGAAAACTTGAAACAAGTTGGTACCCTACTGTAACGGACCTGGGGTGTCTGTTACTTGCTTACACGTAGTGGTGAGGAAGCGTACAGGTCCAGTGATACTGAAAGCAAGTACTTAGTCTGAAGGAAAATCAACTCTGTTTTTATTTAGGTCCAGGGCAGCTTGCCCTGACCACTCAAATACACGTCAACTCCTTATTGGTTGATTATGGGTCTGGCTTCCCATATTTTAACTAATAAGGTGACGGCAGTTCAGCACACGCTACTCGTGTGCTGCTGCACCTACTTTTGTAATGCAAATCTACCTACTTATGTAATGGTGTGAACCACTACAAAGAACCTATAAAACTACCTACATATGTAACTTGGGGGGCCCATTACACTAACTTAAGAAAGTACTGTATTTTAAAGAAGACCTGTAACAATTTTTCCACAGCATTATGGTTTCTTAATCTGTTCGATCCTCAATTGCATGAAGTCTTTGGGTTTCTGCCAGCGCATCACGACTTGGAGTAAAATACTCCAAAAACTCTTTCGTAAGGGGGGCCATGAGATACAACTGCGATAACGTTTTCACTCGAGTGACGGCGACATAGAAAGATGAACGCTGAGGAATCCTGAGAGTCGGATGACGAAGCGGAGCAAGAATCATTTTCTCTACTGTCAGTCCTCCCTTTGAAATACCCGACGTGGTAGTTCGTTTTCTTCCTCTGATGTGTGTGTGTGTGCGTGCGTGTGTGTGTGTGAGAGGGAGGGGGGGGGCTTACTTACGCGCTTACGTCGTAAGGTTGATGTGTATGAGGATACAGTTTAGCCAAAATGAAGAAGCCGCGGTCGAACGTGCGTTGTCGTCCGACCTTGCTGTCTTGACGCGAGACGGCCTCGATAGGAATCCTATTAGTATTCATCTATTCCCTTCTTTAAATCATGTAGCCTTCATGTACTGTACATGTACCACCCATCATCGGTGGTATCGTATATTGGAGCAACATCCACCTAAAACCAGATAGCGTGAATGTTGACCCAGGCGGCTTGGAACGACATTCACCAGTGCTTTATATGCTTTACCGTAGTTTATTAGGTATTTCGTCCTTTTAGCCTATCACTTGCAAGCCACTATACTTTTAATAATTACAAATGTAGCACCCTAATATTTTATAGAGGATCGTCGACGGTTTTCGATCGCCCCTAAAACTCTGGATAGGAATATCCAGAGAACACCAAGCTCGTATCCGGATTATAAGCCTTTACAAGTTTTTATTTTTTTTGTTTTGTTTTTTTATTGGTCAAAAACGTGTGACTGTAGCGGTAGGCGGTCGCACTTATTGGAGCCGATGACAGTGCATCCAAAAAGAGCGCAACAGTGCATTCTTGGACAGCTCACAATAACGCCTGCCATTTGGTAAACAAAATCTGTACTGTATGTTCTGACACCCTCCTCGTGACCAAGTATTAAAGTTCATGTACAGTACCACAGCGCCATCCGATTGCCACGGATGCGTTGTAATTACAATGCTATGAATTGTTCACAGCCTATGATGCCCACACTGTGAGAGAGACACCGAGTTTTGTCTGTAACGTTTTAAAGCCTTCTTCGGTGAAACCAGAGTTTGGCAGAGAGGAGACAATTCCCATCTTTGGCATGTATCTTACCTACATGCTGAGCCCCAGGAACATGTCGACGAAGTATCGTGCATTGTAGTGCTGCTAGTACTGCTGGCTCCAAGCAAACGCCTCATAAACCTCACCACCCCATTCATCAAAAAGCTCGGTCAAGCATCATCAAACTCTGCACTGCTGAAAAAGCATGTTCATTTCCAAGCTTGTGGTGGCGCTTTCGATTCCGGCGCTTGTTGCTAATGCCGCGGACTGCAAACTCGGGCCCTCGGAAAAGTGTGCGGTCAACTCGCTTCCGGGACTGGGTGACGATGGAAGCGTTCTTATATACCCTGGTGGTAGCACGCGCTGTGCTTTTGACGACTATTCTGACAACACCACGACGTTCGAGTCAAGCTCAACGTATTTTTTTCAAGTGTTTCCGAATCTGAAGCAGGACAAGTCCAAGGTTCTTCTGTACTTCCAAGGAGGTGGCGCCTGTGTCGATAAGGACACGTGTAACTTCGCGCTGCAATGCCAACTTGGTGCCAACTCCCTCATTACGACGACAGCTAAAGTCGACAACAGCGGCATCATGAATCGTGGTGCCGATGGCAATCCATTCAAGGATTAGAATGTTGTATTTCTCCCGTATTGCACAGGAGACCTCTTCGTGGGTAACACGCAGCTGGAGCCTTCTGAAGGTCCTTACAATCAAGCTCTAGGCAACAAGCAATGCCTTGGCCAAAATCGCACCATGCACTTGAACGGCTACAATAATGCGAAGGCTGTGCTGGACTGGGCGCTCGAGAACTTCCCGGAACCCAAGCAGCTGGTCGTCGGTGGTTATAGCGCGGGGTCCTTGGGGGCACAGCTTTGGTCGGCCAAGGTTGCTGACATGTGGCAAGTTAAGCAAAAGTCCATGAAGTTCCAGGTTCTGGCGGATAGCTACGTCGGTGTGTTCCCGGAGCACAAGGTAGCTGCTAGCTCACTCGTCAACTTCTACGGTGGTTGCGACGTAGACTTGCATTTTCCAGAGCCAATGACGACGGAATGTAAGGCAAACACAGCAACAGCCACTGCACTTGTCGATGCTTTGATTAAAGAGACCCCCAAGAGCGACTGGTTGTTCATCGACAGCACCGCTGACCGCACGCAGCGCAAGTTTTACGAGCTGGTGCGCCTGGGCATTGCAGGGTACCCATTCACGACATTGTTGGACGCTGGTGAGTTCTTCGGCAACCTGACGCAGATTGTGGACTCGCATGCGCAGCTGACGAGCGTGACGCGATTCAACATAGAAAGCGAGCAGCACGTGTGGCTGAAGTCGGCAGAATACGCGACGGCTACCAGCGTGGACGGTGCTGTACTGGGCAACGTGCTTTCGGAATGGCTAAGTGTATCTCCGACGAACGCGACGTTAAAAAAAGCTCTTTGTTGTTAAAGTGTCCATCTGATTATGCACTACACTAAATCATACGGAAGTAAAATCCTTCTATTTAGCATAGTGCGCTCACTCCGAGCGATTCAGTTTCTGTCAGCAACTATGGCCCTCCACCGGAAGCAGCGGGGCGTCGTGGACACCAGTCCACAGTTCGTGCGCATTCAGACGTCGCACGCTAGTAGCCGAGCGATGGGCTACTCACTGCACGAAACGCATCCGCGTGCCCAGCGGGTTTTTGCCAAGCGCTACGCAGCGAGCGACCGGTCGCGTAAAATCAGCTCTCTTCAACTGCGCGCGTGCTTCGCACTATGCGTGCTATTGTACTTTGGTGCCATCTACTTTGCAGACGATATAGCGAACATCGGTCGAGTGGTGGGATCAGAGCAGAGCAGCCAGAACTTCTTCGTGCACACCCTGCGTCCACGTGGGAGAAGCAATGTACGCGTGGGCAGAGCTGTCGACGCTAAGAAATTAGAGCCGACGACTCCCTCGGTTACTTTGGCGCTAAAAGTGTCGAAGCAGAATATTCATGAGAAGGATGGTCCGGTTACAGCAGTGCCCGATGCTGAAATCCAGACTGAAGTTGTGACTGCAAAAACGAAGGCGGCGCACGCGATCGAGCCGCTTGGGCTGCCAGAAACAGAACGGGGAGCGGGGGCTACCCACAAGGACATGCAAAAGGCAATCGATAACGTGCCAGGGGATGCGGTTCACCCAGATGATCAAGGTGAAGACTTTGACAACGGTAACCCTGCACATCCAGTTCCGGGCAAATACATTGTTGAACAGGTGAAGACAGTTTCAGCGGACCTCATCGAGCCAAATGACGGACACCTTGAGTCTCAAAAGCGTGAACAAGATGTTAGAATCTCCGAAGCCCCACAGAAATATGCTGTTCCAGCGAGAGGTCATTCAGACCCAACTGCTGCGGCTCGGAAAGGGGACGATGTCATTGTCGTGCCTGCTGTAAGCCCCTCGCCTGTCCAGCATATTCGAAGCAGCGTGGAACCAGTAAGCCGAAAGAGTCCTAAGCCCAGTCAGGAAATCCATAGCAAGGAGGGGTGAGGTACCAGCGGCCTTCTGTAGCGCCAGTGCAGGCGAAGGAGAGCATGGCTGAGCACATGTCGGATATTTAACTGAACAAACTTGTAGATAAATTTGACGCAATTGAAGCACTGCGGTGCCACCAGCGACCGCAGCCACAACTGATTTGGCAGCGGGTCGTCATCTGGAAGAGCGCAGCGTGCAGTCTTGACATATGCCATTACCTGCGCGCGTATCGTACTTGATTGTCGACTGTTTGGTGCAGCTCATTTAACTCGGAGACGTCGCAGAGTTGCAAGTGGCAGCGAGTTGGTTCAGGATCGGCTGTCCAAGCGTTTCAATATTGCGCACAAGTTTGCCGGTGCGGGTGACCAATCCTAAAGAATGAGTCTCAACAAAGCTAGGGAGCACGGCACTTTTGAACACGTCAGACGATCGGACATCGCCAATCCCAAGCACCATCCGCAGCGAAAAGGCTTGCAGCACATGTGACAGGATATTTAATTTTTCTTGGTTTTACATTCAATTTCCGCTCATTCGTCCAAAACCGCAGTATCATTTTTCGCAGTCTGTTCGATGGACTCCTCTCTCGCACCTTCCCCCCGATGTGGCTAGCACAGTGGCTGAAGTGGGCGTGGATAGCGGTGCTCCACGTACGCGGCGCTCACTACACATTTGATCAGCAGCATGCGCCGCCCCGCGTCGTCCGCACTACCGTCTTACGCGCCAGACGGCTATCGATACCGTGTCTCGTCAATGGCGTCTGCTGCTGGCATTTCCACCGCAAATACTTTTCCCTCTCAGCGCTGTCACACGCGTTGGTGGCTAGTCTTCTACATGGTGCTGGGGTGCTACGCCATCGCTGTGCTCAGCTCCTACCTTGTAGGCTTGGCGCCCAAAGCTTCTACCCTCCAGAATGGGGTCCAAGAGCAGCAGCGGGTGCTACACCACCAGAAAGTGGTTGAGGTGGGCCCAATCAAAGTGGAGACGACTGCAAACGACCCAGAGGAAGGGTGGCCAGTACAGGAACCAGGTGGAGCGGAAGCAGCAGTGCAAGGAGATATGTCAAGAGATTTAGAGCTGGAACAGGAGCACGAAGCTGCTGGAGAGATGGGCGCACGCGAAGACGAGCACGTTGACGCAGCATCAGAAAACGCTGGTACCGGTATTGAAAGGACACTCGAAGCACCTGCTATCACGGCTACATCAATACCTCCTGCTACTTTGAGTCCAAGCACTGTCGAGACGCATAGTGCGCCCGAAAAGAATGTAGATATTCCTACGCGAAGAAATGACGTGGTATTGCTAACCGCTAATCAAGAAGAGGCCGAGAACAAGGAAACCACTGACACGAATGCCATGAGCGACAGTAATGGAGTCAGTCTAAAGGATCCTAACGATGCGGAAGCGGATCTGCAAGCCCCGCAAGAAAAATGGGAAGTCGAGGGCTCCACCACTAGTGACGCAATTGAACCGCCTGGACCGTTGGCCACTCCAACAAGTGACGAAACGCAGCCACCTGTACGCCACTCGGACCAATTCTATAAAGCTTTGGACCTTGTCTTCCCTTACGAGACAAAGCCTCCCAACCCATACTTCCACGTTTTCCCGGTTAGCAAGAACTCACCTGGAGATGACGCCGCGCTAGTCTCTGGACTCCGCAACAATGCAGCAGATCGGGACTCATGGTCAGTAGAGGGGTATCAACATGAACTGGATCGTCTCGAGGGGATTAAGCGTGAGGCTAACGAAGAGACTGAGCGTCTAAAACGACTTGTTGGCGCTACTGATAAACTCATATCCGAAGAGAAAGATCGACTCGAAGACAAGCGCGCAGCTAGCACGCTGGATATCCGTCGGCATCAGCCAAAAAGGATTCGCAGCAAACTGAAATGCATGGGATGGCGCCAGACTGGGCAGTGCAATCCCTACGGCAAACGCGAACCGAATTCGGATCTTGCATGCAACCAAATTGCGCAGGGTGGTGTCTCTGGCTACTGTGAGGTATTGGACGAGGAAACGGGTGAACTTTTCCGTGTCATGCAGCTCAATTGCTCAAGTGTTCGGGATCACGTCGTGTTTTCATGCGCAGAGGCTGCTGATTTCGCCAACTTTGGACTTCTTGCCCAGGGCGTGTATGAAAGTGCTTTAGCGCAGAATAAGTCCGATCCATTGAAACTACTGGGTAACAATGGTAAGGGCAACGGCATCGTCATGGTTGTGTACCCGAAGTTGCTATCCAGCGTCTTCGCATCGATTAGCGTCCTGCGTTCGTACAACTGCACGCTACCGATCGAGCTTTGGATATCGCAGCCTGAAGTTGTTCGCACTCCGAGTATGAGGACAACGCTGGAAATGTTACAACAACGATTTTTTCTTGTAACCGTGGAAACCATTATTGACCCGACGATCGCTGGCTTTTCCACCAAGATCCACGCCGTTCAGCACAGCAAGTTTGAATACGTGCTGTTCCTCGATGCAGATAACGTTCCTGTACGCGATCCAACGTTCCTGTTCGAGACTAAGGAATTCCGTGAGCACGGTGCTATCTTTTGGCCCGATTTCTGGCATCCGGAGAAAACCATCTTCAACATTCAGCGCGAGTCTTTACTGTGGGAACTCGTCGACCTCCCTTTCGTGGACATGTTTGAGCAGGAAAGTGGTCAGATTCTCATTGATCGGAGACGAGCTGCAGTAGCAATGGAAGTGCTGATGTTCTTCGCGTACCATCGCCCCAGCCACTTTGAACGACTGGTGTTGGCCCACGGCGACAAAGATCTCTTCCGACTAGCCTGGATGAAGACGCATACACCGTTTTACATGATGCCATTCCCGCCTGCGTCTGCCGGAACGGAGCGTGGAACGTACAAGAAGCAGTTTTGCGGTATGACCATGGTCCAGTTTGACGTCAATGGCAACGTGCTGTTCCTACACCGTAACGCTAAGAAACTCGATGGGAAGGTGGACAAGCTGGACCCGAAGTACTGGACACATTTGCAGTCGTTCAAGTGGGAAAAAGATGTTGCTGTCGGTGATGGCGAGGAAGTCATGTTTCCGGCGAATCGAACTGCGGTGCAACGCATGATGAGCTACCAGGACATAAAACAGAAGTATCAGATCGGCATTCAGCCCAGCGGTGTGCTCTTCAAGGAGTTCGAGACATGCTACGGCGCAGAGCCCAATGCCGTTAGCAATTATAACCTGACCAAGTTTGAAGACCTGCCATTTGCCAACTTGGAGCAGCAGCTGATCGACTATGCTCACGAAGGCGCGCTTTTAATGGTGCAGGCTCAAGGCCGTATGCGTGCTTAGTGCATTATACTCCGCATCAACCCACGGGCATGATCAATCATAGAAGAAGTGTTTCTACTGTAGACGTTATTTACTTAAATAAAGTGTCCAGCTTGTTTTCTTTTCACGGTGTCTCATGCTCACTGTAAGTACGATTTGTATTGCAGCAGTTAGAGGTGCGACTCGAAACGAACACCTCGGCAACGACATGATCCTGCGCCGCTGGCTCGTCCCGCTGCTGGCCCTACTACTGCCGACCTCCATGGGGCAGCAGTGCGCTTATTTCTCCCAGGATGACCTGCTTTCCCGTCTCGAGTATCGTGTGCCCAGATGCCTTGGCCCCAGCGCTTCATCTTCTGTGCTTTCGACGTTGACCGAGCGCTTCGTCGCCAACGAGTTCGACCGCCACCAGCCACTAGCGCTCGTGCTGTTTTCCAACTCCAGTGATCTCCTACACTCGCTAGCCGGTTCTGTGGCCTCCTCGCTCTTCGGTGCCTCTCGTTCCCCACACACAGTACAGAACGTCGATTTCCAGGTGCTCCTTGAACCCTCGCGGACATCCAACTACGATATCAAACAGAAACTGCGCTCTGCTCTAGCCACTCCGCTAGGCGCCTGCCCCGATCGCAGCCTCTTCGTACTTGACAATGTTCAAGCATTGGATGACGCCGCCCTGCCAGCTCTCGACGTGTTCCTGGACCCCCTAAACGGCAAGCGCGCGCAGTTCCAGCACTACGTTGATGGTAAAGCCAGTCGCGTTTTCGATTGCACCAACTCGATCTTCCTTTTCCTGTACAAGATTGCAGCTAACCAGTCGCCATTGGATGGTGGAGAAAGTGGTTCAGGGTCCTCCAGCAAATGGCGGGAATTTTTGATGCAACATTGGACACGTTCCGAAGGAACGCTCGAGGAGTTCACGCCTCAAGCCTTCGTTGGAAGACTGACAGACGCAATAGCGGTGTTCCCACCTGATGGAGACGACAGCACGGAAAGCAGCTACGATGAATTTAAGCAGTCGCGTGAGTGGCGTCAAATGTGCGAGCTGCAATCAGAGAACGAACCTGGCAAGGCTGGAGACAACACTGAGATTTTTGCAGCTTCAGCTTTGTCGCGCGTCGCTGGAAATGTTGCTGCTGCTACCCCAGTGATTTCTGGAGCTATTGCTATGATTTCAATACCGGCATATCTGCTGATTCTGACACGTGCTAAACGTTGGAATGAAGAGACCACCAAGCAGCGAGGTCATATCCACCGCCGTCGAAACAGCGGCAGCAGTGGTAGTACGAGGCGAAAAAGGAGAAAAACGCGCAAGTGAAAAAGTGAACTACAGCTTAAGATTAATGGGGAACCGGAGGAAGCTTGTGGTAGGGGCTGGCTCCGAGATGCAAATATATAACACTACTGTGTCTACTTTAGTTCCTTGCAGGTGTGTCTTACATTTCCTTTACATCTGACAGGATGTTTGAAGACTGTACTACGGCTTGAGCTCTGATAATCAGTGAAAACCAACTCATTGTAGCGGTAGTAAAGTCATAGCCCAAATAAAATAAACGCTGCCAATGTATTTTTTCAATCTCACTACAGTATCTCTAACGGAATGCACCCACCCTGCGCTGACGTATCTGCTCAGCTTCTTGGGCAAACTTACGGATGGCCGATTCTAAACCAGAAAACGGCAGATCTTCGAATTCCTGGGTATAGAAATGCTGGTTCGTGCCAAGCTCACGCTGCCCGTAACAACGTTGCCAGTCTGGAAAATGTGGAGTGGCTCTGTAGGGTTGTATCCTGTAGAAGCCGCGCTGAGACGTCGAGTTAAATGACAACAAATGCGTCCACATAACTGGATCTGGCAGCCCGTCGGACTCCAGCGGTTCCAGCGTCGGTGGTGGGGTCAAACTCAGCCTAGCTATCTCGTCATCTACCGCCTTCTGATCGGGGGTGTGGTTGATGCTGTCACGTGGTTGACCGTCGATTTGTGTTCTTGGTGGTAAATCCACAACTGAGTTCGAATTAGATGCTTACAGCTTTGCTACTCGCTCTGCTAACTAGTCCTGCTGTCCTAGGCGCTCGTAGTGCTAGCTGTCTAATCCTACTTCAACGTCAAGCATATGTAGTTGCCTTCTTCCACTGGAAGGCTGGTCAACATGGCGCACCTGCTGGTCCCAGGGAGCAGCACGTCATCTTCTGAGTAGCACGTGCGCTCTGTGCTGCAGGTGCGATGGAGAGCATCTTACTGCGGCTGCTCACAGATGCCTTGCCTCAGCAGCTTTTCGCGAACATTGTTGATAGCTTGTGCTCGATGATAAACTTTCTTGCGCTTCACTTCCCCTGAAAGTTTGTTTGAGTTGCGATGCAAGAACAGCACCTCGCCCTTCATGTCGTGTTGCACCATTGTCATACCACAAAACGACCCGTTGATGACCTTGCCTGCCACAGCTAGAGGCGACTGTATCATAGTGAACGGCATGTTGAGTTTCATCCACGCAAAGCGAAATAAGTCCTTATCACCATACGCAAGTTTGAGACGCGTAAACGGGTTGGGACTTTTTACGGTGTAAAACTTGACGAGTTCCAGGGGTGCTGTGTGCCGTCGTCTGTCAATAAGCAGCTGACCGCTTTCTTGCTCAAAGGAGTTCACAAATGCCGTACCCAGTATTTCCCATAGTAGCGATTGACCATGAATATTGAAGATCGTGTGACCCGGGTGCCAGAAGTCTGGCCAGAAGATAGCTCCCGTGTCCTCGAACTCCGGTGAGTCAAACAAATAAGTTGGATCGCGGACAGGGACATTGTCGGCATCAAGGAACAACACTCGCTCGAAAAACTGTTGTAGACGGCGAATACTTTGGCCCCAAATCCAGTTGCCCAGTTGTCGTTGATATTGTGAAACGAGATTTCACCAGTTTCGGTTGTATTTATCAATCCCAACAGCGGTGAGAGAGCTTCAGAGCCAACGCGAATTTCCTGCCTTCGATACCAAATCTCAATGGGAAGACGACAACCCAAATCGGTACGAAGGGTGCGAATAGTGGCGTACGCGCTGGCTATCAACTTGGGATAAACCACCATAACGATGCCGTCTTGAGACTTGTCTGTTGCTTCTATCGTGTTAGGAAGTGTGAAACCTGGTGTAAGTGCTTTCTTGGCAACTTGGGCAGATTCAAGCTGGTACTTGACGAAACCTGGGGCTTCAATACAACGAAATGTTGCGTCGTATCGCAAACTCGAGCAGTATCGCTTCATAACCCGGAACAACTCACCTGTATCCTGGTCCTCCACTTCGCAGTACCCAGACGCTGAGTTTATAACTACATCATAGCATCCCTTGTCGCTCGTTGGATCACGGGGCCCATGTGGGGTACAATGGCTTGTACCGCGCCAACCAACGCATTTCAATCGACGCTGCTTCTTCTCTTCTGCGGGGAGCATCTTTACTGAGCGTGCATGCTCCTCAGCCTGAGCATTTGCATTCCTGGGATCAAGCTTCGAAGCCTGGTTGCTGTTCGGTGTTGTTGTTTTCTCGTGTACAGAAGGAATGGGCATCGATAACTTCGCTTCCGGTTGATTCTCCGTTGTGTTTAGGAGATGCCCCATGCGAATGAATTGCAACGCCTTGGCTTCGTGGATAATAGTATTCACTGCAGAGCGGAAGGTGATGTGGGATGCTGTTGCATCCACATCATTCAAAACTCCCAAATGACTTGCAGACCAGAACAGCAGCAGTAAAACGTAGGCAGCACCACTAAGTAGCATCCATTTCCGGAGTCGTCTCCTCGGCGCCGTTGGTGTCACAGGAGCAGCTAGAGTGAAGGTATTGGGCAACAGCGCCGCTGAATCGCCCGGTACAAAAGGAATCGAAACAGCCCGGCTTGCTACCCGGGGTCTCAGCAAGCGATCTGTCTCGTCCTGCATCATGTCTGACAATTTCAAATCAAACATTGAGGAGGCAACATGAGTCATACCCAGACTTTTGAGTCAGTGTCCATCATTTTGATCAGGATACCTTAGGCACGGGTATTTTGAAAATTTGACTTGTGCCTGACTCGCGGTGGTAGATGTTGCTGTGCAGGATTTCCATCTGTAGTGCTATTCAAGTACTGTAGTATATTCGATAAGTTATGTGCAGACCATGCTGCAGCATGCTGTGGTCGGGTGCGGCTTCACGTCCGTGCATTTCGAGTAGCCTGATCCGCTGCCTCCATGGCGAAACGCCGCAGCTCCATCTCGAATCCCGAAAAACTGAGGTTGGCGATCTCCTGGGCATTGAAACTTGGATTGGATCCGATATGCTTCTGCCCATAGCAGTGTTGGTCTCTGAACTGCGGCTCTACGCTGTATGCTTCGATCGTGTAGTCTGTGCGCGGAGCACTTCGGTTAAATGACAGTAAGTGCGTCCAGATAGCCTCGTCAGGATATCCGTCAGATTCGGTTTTCTTCAGAGTTGGGTGCGGTGTCATCGCTGCAATCTCCGCCACCACCTCGCTCCATTTGGGGGTCAACCGACCGCGACCATTCTTGGCCTTCCGAGCGGCCAGTTTCTCCCTTGCTCGTGCTACTGCTTTGCTCCGAACAAGCGCCTGTTCTTGTCTCGGCATACCTGTAAGTTTACGTGAGTTTCGATGCATGAACAGCACTTCTCCCTGAGCATCGTGCTGTACCATCGTCATCCCACAAAAGATGCCGTCGATCACCTTGCCAGCTACTGCAGGCGGAGACTGAATCATGTGGAACGAGGCATTTTGATGCATCCACGCGAAGCGAAAGAGATCCTTGTCGCCGTGCGCTTGTTTGAAGTTGTCAAACAGATTAGGGCGGTGAAAGGCGTAGAAAGACAACACTTCCATGGGTACTGTGTGGCGCCGTCGGTCGATAAGAAGTTGGCCGCTCTCCTGTTCGAACATATCAGCAAATGGGATGCCTAGGAATTGCCAAACCAGCGATTGGCGGTGGATGTTGAAGATGGTATTGCCAGGATGCCAAAAGTCTGGCCAGAAGACTGCGCCCGTCTCGATGAATTCAGGAGACTCGAAAAGGAAGCTCGGATCTCGTATAGGCACGTTGTCAGCGTCCAGGAACAATATTCTCTCGAGGAAACTGTGGTAGATGGCGAAGACTTTCGCCCCGTAGCTGAATGCACGTACACCATTGATCTTGTGGAATGTAATGCCTCCAACAATGGCTGCCAAGTTTTCCAACGGGGTCAAACTTTTCCGTATCGACTTCATTTCGTCAGGCCGGTACCAAAGCTCGATGGGAAGTCGACAACCAAGCACTTCTCGTAGAGCGCGGACCGTGGCGTATGCACTCGCCAGCAACCTTGGATACACAACTATGACAATACCATCTTGGCCACCCGACATATTATTGTTCACGCCTTCCACGAGAGGAACAACATGGGGGAGGGAGAAACCTGGAATCGATGCCTTCTTGGCCACCTCATTCGCTCTAGTTGGGAACTTGACGAATTCGGCAGCGTCAAGACAGCGGAACTTTGCATCCTGTCGGACGCTATTGCAGGTACGTTTCGCCACTTGGAGTACTTCACCCGTATCCTTGTCCTCGAGTTCGCAATAGCCGGATTGATCGACAGGCACCGGTTTGCCGCAGGGTAGATCTAAATTCGGTAGTCGCGTGCCATCAGGATCACAGTCGCCCGTTGCCTTCCACCCACGACATCTCAAGCGAGCATCCACCTTCTTCTTTTCGTTCTTGTCCGATGGAGTCATCTTTGCCTGCATCTCTTCCTCCTGAGCTCGAGCGATTACCATAGCTGCCCGTATCGACATCTCTCGAGCAGAAAGCTGTTCCACTGGAGCTTCGGGTGAAGATGTTGGCGGCACATTTGGCGCAGTCATCAAGCTGTCAGGGGTAGAGTTTTTGGGCTTGGTGTTGTTCCCCCGATCCACGTCCAATAGCCCCAGTCGACTAGCATTCCAGCAAACCAACAACGCGACATACAGAGCCCCCGACAGCAGCAACAGCCTCAGCAGCCATAGGTGCCAGCTACGGCGACCAATACTGGTAGCGTGAGTCTCTGTTGCTGCCACAAGCGGCAGCAGTGGCGACTGGCTCGCCGCCCTCGGTCGCAGCACATTCTGCTCCATCTCAAGCGGAATTGAGGTCCTTGCAGGTGATTCGGTGATAGGCAGGCGTCACCCACCGCACAGAGACAGCACCAGTTTTCCTGTTCCAAAGTCAAGCTGCATACTGAGGCCCGCAGGCCCGCATGTTAGAAAATTGAGAGAAAGCTTCAGCTACCAAACATTGCATTGCATTCCGATAAGTTATACACACAGCCTACGCCTTCTTGATCTCTACAGCCTCCGCGGCAAAACGGCGCAGGTCCGTCTCGAGCCCGGAGAAGGGCAGATCGGCTACCTCCCGGGCGTAAAAGTGCTGGCTCTTGCTCACATTGCGCTCGCCGTAGCAATTTTGAGACTTGGGGAACTCTGGGTCCGCGTTATAAGTCTGTACGTAGTAGTGTTCCTGTTTGGAAGTGGAGTTGAATGACAGCAAGTGCGTCCACACGATCGAGTCCGGGTATCCGTCTAGCTCAGGCGGTTCTATGGTCGGGGCTGGAGTCTCCTCCGCCTGAACGAGCGCGTCTAGCTCGGACCAGGGCGGAATCTCCTTTCCCTCATTCCGATATCTCGTTCGAATATCTGCTTTCTTCCGTGACCGTGCAATAGCTCGAGTTCGGTAGTCAAGCTCTTCTCGAAGAGGTTCGCCCATGAGTTTGTGTGAGTTACGGTGAAGGAACAGCACTTCGCCCTGAGCGTCGTGCTGAACCATCGTCAGGCCGCAGAAACTGTCGTTGATCGTCTTGCCTGCTAAGGCAGGAGGTGCCTCAATCATGTGGAAAGATGCATTGAGTTTGAGCCACGCAAGACGGAAGAGATCTTTGTCGCCGTGGACGAGCTTCATGTAGTCAAAGTGACTTGGTCGATGAAACGTGTAGAATTTGACGAGCTCTAACGCTTCCGCGTGACGACGACGATCAACAAGAATCTGGCCGCTCTCCTGCTCGAGCATGTTAATAAAAGGCATGTCGATCAGCTCCCACAGGAGCGACTGGCTGTGGATGTTGAAGATGGTGCGTCCAGGATGCCAAAAGTCCGGCCAGAAGACAGCTCCGTTCTCCACAAACTCCGGGGAGCTAAACAGGAAAGTCGGGTCTCTTGAGGGCACGTTGTCGGCGTCGAGGAACAAGATGCGTTCGAAGTAGCTGTTGTAAATGGCAAACACTTTCGCTCTGAAGCCAGAAGCATGCCAGTCCGTGATCTCGTGGAAGCTCATAATCGACGTGTGGTTATCTGCCGCCAGAGCCGACAGTGGCTTCATCGCATCAGGGTCTGCATTCATCTCGGCACGGCGGTACCAAATTTCGATAGGCAATCGGCATCCCAGTACTTCACGCAGGGTTTTTATTGTCGCGTAGGCGCTTGGGATTAGCTTCGGAAACACAACCATAACGATGCCATCGCGCTGTTGCTGGTTAGTTGTGCTCTGCATGTTCGGCAGTGAAAAGCCTGGTGTAAGCGCGTTATCCGCCGCCTCGCGCGCCCTGTAGTGAAAGTTGACAAAGTTGGAGGGATCAGAGCAGCGGAAGTTCATATCCCATCTAGAGCTGCTGCAATAACGCCGCATAACACGGAACCGCTCGCCAGTATCGTCGTCTTCCACCTCGCAGTAGCCCGAATGACCGTGCGGAACCATTTTGGTGCACGAGAAGTCGTTCTCAGGCCTACGTGGGCCATATGGACTGCATCCACCCGTCGCTTTCCAGCCCAAACACTTTAAATTTCGCGGCTTTGTCTCGCCTTTAGGTAGTAATAGCGCATCTCGAGCTAAATCCTCTGCTTCCTGTCGTCTTCTCACCTCATCGGATTCCAGAGATCCTGACGCAGAAGGTAGAGAGCTCATGGAGCCGTCGGCCTCCATCTTGGCAATGACCGCTTCTCGCGCCAGACGCAGCGCCTCCCGCACTTGAGACGCCTCCATTGGTATGTCAATTGCCGCTTGCGTATGGATCGGAGTGACCTTGTACGTGGTCGCGTCTTCCTCCGTCTCTTCATGATTCTGCTTCTCCTGCTCTTGCTTTTCGTCTGCCTCCTGGTCGTTGGCCGCCTTCAGCATTGCTGCCAAGTCCATCGAGCTGCCACCTTGTTGCTGTTGGTCAAAAACCGCCATGTTTGACTTGGATGCTGCCGAATCTGAGCCCGTGCGCACCACATTAAGATTCTGCGAGGACCAGGCTAGCATAGTCACCGCGTCCAAGAGTTGAGAACTCTTATCGCCGGAAGAGGGTCCCCCGCCATTCCGGCGATAAGAGTTCTCGACTCTTGGACGCGGCGCTCCTCCACGATGACGCAGCAACACAGCTCCAGGCTTCTCCTCCGTCCCAGGCGCGCTCGACGTATTGGAGCGCGGACGCAGTAGCGAGTCCACCTCCATGTGTACTGCCCGTGATGACGATTGTCGTGTGAGGAAACAATCTCGTTCCGTTGTGAACCCGCAGATTTGTGACGCACGCCGAAGACCGAGGGATTTTTTGTTAGAGATTTGTCAAGCACTCAACTTCAGTTGTCACCTGTCCGCTTTGAGACAGGAAACCCTGATGATTCTTATGCAGCCACATCCCTCGGCAGCATTTGCCTTTCCTGATACACGTAAAAACCCAAAAGGGCATCTCCACCGTTTTATATCAACACTGGAATCTATCTATCGGCAAGATCTCTATCTTCTTTCGAACAAGCCGGGAGTTGCAATACTGCACCGCGGCCAGCAGCAGTATTTTGGCACGCATGTCCGAGCTGAGGGAGACGCTCTAGGGTAGGAGAGAATGCGTCCTACTAGGAGTCCTAAAGTGTCCTATTGTCCTAAAACCTGGGATAAAAAACTAGCAATTCGGCTCATAAAAAACCGATATTTAGGACAGCACAATGAGTTTTAGGACGAAACAAGCCAGGGTCCGCGTGTCCTAATAGGACACTCGACAACTGGACACTCAGCTGTCCTATTAGGACAGACTGCAACTCAGACCACTGTCCTATTAGGACAACACCAAGCCCAACATGTACTGTCCTCAAAACATCCTCAACTGGCCTAGCTAGAAACAATAATCATCTTAACGCCCCAGCAGCCGACTCTTTGTTGTGCGCGAAAAGCACCTCAACGAAACTTTTCTACTTCAAAGTGTGTGACAATATTTTTAAAGCGTTTCAAAGGATGACAGTCATTGAAGGTCATAATAGCCGCTAATAACGGTTGAGCGACTTCAACATACACATAGCAAACGACGGTTAATAATCAGAACGTAACGATATAGGGGGGGCTCAAAAAGCAGCAAAGTACTCGCAAGGGCTATTTGGCTGCAAGTCGATCCGAAGACGCGGTTAGCAAGCGATGGGGGTCTTGGTTAGCGCGGCAGTGTGCTCGGCCTGGTTCGTCGAGTTGTCTGGCGTCGTCGGGGTGTCGACGACAGGTGCGTTTGTGGCAGGCGAGTCCGGGCTTGGAGCCGACGTCGATGAGCAGTTGGACGGCACGTAGACTACCAGGTCGGCCTTCAGGTTGGAACTGACACCGACCGGCAGTTGGCACTCCTCCAGGTTCATGGCCTTCACGTCAGCGAGCAGGGTGTTGCAGGCAGTCGAGGCGCACATCTTGTCAATGGTGGCCTGGTCCGGGATCTCAGTGGTCCGTTCCGCACTGTTGAACGTTCGCGCTCGTGAGTAGAGCGGACAAGACATTGCTTCCGCAGGTGGCAGCAGAGGCCAGATAGACGAGCGCCCTAGCTGCAGAAGGAGTAGCCGCGATGGTCCATGATGCTTGGGGAGATTCAGAAATGGTTGGTGTGCCCCAGGACAATAAGTAAAGCCAATGTGAGTTTTAAGTAACTCTTACGTAAATTTACGTAGATAGTCCGGAAAAAGTTATTATTTGAGGTTTAGGACAATCTGGAGGACACAAATTATAATATTCCGTAACGAAGGATTAGTCGCTTTTTAGGACACATCTCCAAAATCTCCATGTAAAATTTAGGACAAATAGGACAGTTTAGGACGTGTCTTAGGAGATGCTCTAAGAGCATCTCCACCGGTGGGGCTCTATATCTATATAGCGACTGAAGAGCTCAAATTGATAACTACTGGGGTTTCACCAGGCGTCTCTATCGCCAATTTTTTAGCTACCGGGGGGGTTTCGGTCGCTATTTCGGACGCCATAGCGACTGAAATCTATAGGAGGTTGGATCACTTGCAAACGAACAATGCCTCGAGGAAAAGCTTGGTCGGACAAGGAAGACGCCGCCCTGTGCACGGCGTGGTGCGCTACCCAATCGCAGGGGCCGATCAGAGGGCGGACAACCTTTGGACGCTAATCTTGCAGTCATACTGTACCATAGTACCAGGATGCTTGTGCGGCGATACTTCGCCGCACAAGCATCTCATCAGCCGCAGTGAAGTCTCTGTCGACATTTGCAGCCTTGCCGGGCTGTGAACCGCCGTGTTTTCTCTTTTTCGGTGCGCGAGGGGTCAAAAGTAGCGAGCAGACGTACGCCTCTTCCTCGTAGTCAAGAGCTTCTCGCAGAAGACGATTTCTCCACATAGCGGACAGATTGGTGAGTGATGCCCCTCGGTGTCTATCGCTAAAAACATTCCGGCCAATCGGAAGGCAACGAGTCTATAGATATAGCGACACACCGGTGGAGATGCTCTTAGGACGCATTATCCTACACCCGCTCTAGAGTTATCACCCCGCAATCCCCACTTGCTCGTAAAAGCGAGCACCTTCCTTCGCAAAGCGCCGTAACTCCGTCTCGAGTCCGGAATAGCTGAGGTTGGTGAACTCTTGAGTAATGAAGTGTAAACTCTGGTTCAAATAGCGCTGTCCGTAGCAGTTCTGGCCGTTTTCAAAATCTGGAAATGCCTCATACGTGCGGATTAGGTAGTCCGACCGACGCGAAGTGTCTTTAAAAGAAACCAAGTGCGTCCAGATCGCCATATCTGGATAACCATCGGGCTCTGGCACTTCCAAGGTCGGTGATGGAGTGTCCTCAAGCGCAACTAGTTCGGCATCTTTACCACCAAGCATGATACGATCCGCCTCAGCCATTTTCATACGCAGTCGCTTGTTCCTTGCCCTGCGGATGGCTGCTGCTTTCATGTTGACTGCCTTCCGTCGTTGAGTGCCCATGAGTTTATGGGAATTGCGATGGAGAAAGAGTACGCCGCCCTGTGTATCGTGTTGCACCATTGTCATGCCACAGAAACTCTCGTTTACAACTTTGCCAGCGACGGCAGGTGGCGACTGGATCATGTGGAAAGGAGCACCCAGTTTCAGCCACGCGAACCGGAAAAGGTCTTTATCTCCATGTGCTAGCTTCATCTTGTCAAAGTGATTCGGTCGATGGAAGGTGTAGAACTTCACAAGTTCCAACGGTGCTGCATGTCTCCGTCGATCAACCAGCAGCTGACCACTCTCCTGTTCGAACATGTTGACAAACGGCAAGTCCAGCAGCTCCCATATGAGTGAGTGTGGCTGAATATTGAAGATGGTCTTGCCAGGATGCCAAAAGTCTGGCCAAAATACTGCGCCATTCTCTTTAAACTCAAGTGACTCAAACAGGAAAGTCGGATCCCGCACGGGTACATTGTCAGCGTCTAGAAACAACAAGCGTTCGAAGAAGCTGTGGTAAATGGCGAATACTTTGGTTGCAAAGCCTGCCACTCCAGGCTCGCCGATCTCTCGGAATGTGATGCTCCCATTATTTTGCCTGGACCAATCTTGAAGCTGTGCGAACGCTTCTGGAAAGAATTTCATTTCTTGCGGTCGAAACCAGAGCTCGATGGGCAAGCGGCACCCAAGTAACCCCCGCAACGCTCGAATTGTTGCATAGGCACTAGCCAGCAGCTTCGGATATACCACCATTACTATTCCATCTCTTGGTTGCTGTTGATGACTGGGCTTTGGTGCAATGTTCGGCAACATGAAATTGCGACTCTGTGCCTCCCTCGTTGCCTCGCGAGCTTTCTGCGGAAGTAGAGCAAAATCCCACGACTCGGAGCAACGAAATTTTCCCACATCCCGCACACTGGAGCAGTATCTCTGCATAACACGGAACCTCTCCCCTGTATCCTTATCTTGCACCTCGCAATAGCCTGACGCACCAAATGGGATAACCTTATTACAGGGTTCATCGAGACTGGGTTTTCTAGGTCCATCAGGACTGCAATCGTCCGTCGCTCTCCAGCTTAAACACCGCAATCTCCTGAGCTTCGCCTCCCAAACTGGGAACGGCTTTAGGGTCTTCGCATGAGCTTCTGCCTCTGCAACCGCTTCCTCGTCCCTCTCAACCGACACGTTGTTCTGATGCAAAAATTCCTTTTCAAGCTCTGCAAATGCGAAATCTCTCCGCAGCTCGCGGTCCTCGTGTGCGTGTAAATACGTCGACTTGCTCTCGTCCAGATTGACTCTAGATATGAAGCTATCTATCGATCCTCCGATTACCTCGTCATCTCTCCTCGTGTGCATGAAGCAGTACCAGACAAGTAACAGCGACGTGTGTAGCGCGCAGACCAGTAGCACCAACCGCTTCAAGCGATGCATACGCGAAGATGACGAGGACTTAGGTGACGTCGCGCTCACATAATGAGGTAGCAGGGGAGCTTCAGGAGCCAGCGACTCTCTGTGGTGGCTCGTGGCCCGCGGACGCAGCTCTGCAACCATCTTGCAACTCTATTGACACTTTGAAATGCATCAGAACTGCGAGACGCTGGTCAACATGTAGCTATATGAGTGCATCTAATTCATGTGGTGCACATTACTTTGAATAACTAAAAACGGCAACTTCAACCTTCTTGCTGCTGGGCGTGCATGTGCTGTACGTGGTTCACTAGGATGACAGCGTCCAGCGTAACAAAGCGACAGTGAGGACATCTATGCTTCTCGTCTTCCCCGGGAGCCTGAATTTCTGTGGGAGGCATCGTCACGACTGGCACCGCCAGCTCCAAGCCGAATATCCTGCTGCCTCCCAGCACAGCGATCGATCGTTCTAGCGGGTTCTCGGGGGCTTCAGGTACTCCAGGAGCGTTAGCATTAGCGTGACTGGATTCAACATGCGCGACCATCATCACAGCATCTGGTGTGGCAAACGGGCAGTACGGACATCGGTCGCCTCCAGTGGTCGAGGTCGCCGCTTGATAGGCCGGATGATCCGCTGCGCCAATGATCCCAGCCTGCGCAGGATACTGCGCTCTCCCCCGCCTTGTACTAGCGGCGCCTTGCTTGCTGCGACGATGGAACCAACGAGTGACCAAGGCAATAATAATCAGCAAAACTATTGTGCAGCCCACAATAATGGCCACGGCCCATGCAGACCAGAACGACTCGCTGTCATCTGTATCCGTCGCTGATCCTGACATGGAGCCAATGGCGCTCGACGACGCGACAAATGCAAAATTCTGCTTGTCTGCTAGGAGCACGCTACGACCATAGACGACAGCTTCGACCACAATTTCTCCATCGTTTCCGAGTGCTGGGCTGTCTGTAACATTCCCGGCGCTACTACTGCTATTGCCAGTCGCTGCAGCAAGTAGATCAGCGTAGGAGACCTGCACCATCTCCACATTGTTCTTGGAATCTCGTCCAGTACCTGAATCAGCGGTCAATGGACCAAACGTCTGAGTACTATTGCGAACGCGGACGACAAGGTCCAAATCGTGTTGCAACTGTGACGTCGCCTGTGTTGACCCAGGAGGGTCCGTCCACACGAGCGTGGCACGTAAATCCACATCACGAGCAACAGTAAACGAAATGACCATCTCGCCATTGTGAGCAACAGACGGTTCACTGTTTTCTGTAGAGTTTGGCAAGAAATACAGAGACGGGAGGCCATTGCTGCTGTTGCCACTGCTATTCCCGCTCAGAGCAGTGAAATCCACAATGTTGGTGAGGTTTGGCTTGCCATAGCCTTGGTAGACATCTGGGAACATCACATCTGTAGCGTCGGAAGCCAAACTCGAACAGGAGACAACACCACTAGCCGGCAGTGTACCCATTCTCCGTTGGAGAGAATCTCCACTGTGAATTATTAGCGCCTTCAAGAGCGAAGCAGGCACCGTTTTCATGGCATACGCTGGGTTCTTGGTCCCATTCTTCCACCAGCCGTCTCGGAGCCACTCATAAAGAAGTACAGCGACACCAGTGATCACCGGCGTGGCCTGTGACGTGCCCTGGAGTGAGCACGTGGCTGAACTCTCTGTAGTAGATCCCGGTGCTTCTGATTGACTAGACAAGAGGCTCATACCCGGCGCAACAACATCCGGCTTCAACCTCCCGTCCGTTGTGGGCCCTGCAGAGGAAAACGATGCAACTGTGCGCTCATTGAAGACATCAGGGCACCCAAAGTCCGTGAAAGAAGCTGCAGAGTTCAGCGATGCGCCAACCGAAATTACGTTTTTGGCACCGGATGGAGATGAAATGGTGCGCTGACCAGTGGTCGAAGACTCGCCACTGTTGCCTGCCGCCACAACCACCAGGACGTCTGGGTTTTCGTAAATAAAAGCGTCCAAATCTCTGGCTTGTGAGCTGTAATCCGACCCAGGTGTGCCCCACGAGAATGAGAAAATCTTGGCACCAGCGTCAATTTGACTCTCTAGCAAGTCGCTGGCGTCTGCAGGTGTGGCTAGTGACACGGCACAATGCAGCTGACCTGTGCAGGTTTCGCTCTGGGTCCCGATGTCCATAAATGCTATCCGTGCCTTGTCGGCAATGCCAAGATTGGCATGTTTACCGCTAAACGAGCTGCCAGCTAACAGCCCAGCGACGTGAGTACCGTGGCCACAAGTGATAGTTTCGGCTTCATCCGCTTTGTTTGCCCAGCCATTGTACATGACGACTTTGCGCGCCGATAGCTTAATACTTACGAAAATATCGCGTTCATCTTGATCGAATTGGTCGTGGTACAGATACAATCCCGTGTCCGTGATGCCCACAACTACGTCGTTTCCTCGAATACCGGCCTCTCTGGCTGAATCAACACCCACTAGACTTGGCACGTACGCATCCAGCCGTCGATGACTCTGCATCCGTGTCCAACGCTCCTCCTCTTCACCCCGTAGCAAATTCTGTGTGATCTCTTGACGTTCGTCCACCCACTCGACCGAGCTATCAACCACAACAAGCGCAACAATAATCGTCCACGTCCTCAGATCCTGCAGTGGCTTGGTAAAAATCGATTTCGGCTGTAAAGGGTTTGTTTCGAACGCGTTCAATAGTCCAACGAGCTCGTTCGCACGTTGTTGGAAAGAAGCCAGCACAGCCTGCTGGTCCGCTCCCCCCACAAGTCTAATCTCCATGGCAGGCGCCGCAATAGACGTCAAATTCCCCTGAGTCATCCTGGAGCTGAGCTGTGCAGCACTTCGTGCGAAGGGCATGAGCTTCAGAATCTCCGGTAGGTCCAGCACTTTGTCCACACACTCGAGAGCTCGAATCTGCTTTGCCACCGACTCGTCCGCATGGATCAATAGTACTGTGTTCTCCCCAAGACTGTCTCCTCTCCTTGTCAGTAATGGCACTTCCTTCTCCTCGTTTTGTCCCCATACTTCCCTTATCGACACTATGCACGCTCTATCGTGGTCTTCTTCCTGTCCTGTGGCCAGTTTTACGAGTCTGGCCTTGCGCTCTGCGTTCTCCTCCTTCTTCGAGTCGTCATCTTGCACTGCCGGCAGTAATTTATCCTGAAGAAATGCTAGTTGACAGGCGTCCGCTGTGACGCTGTCACCTCCCAACATGGCGTCGTACCCTTGGAAGAAGGCGTCGTGGAAGCCCTGGAACACCTGCGCGCTGTTGGCAGTCGAGAGCGTCAGCGAGAACGCCAGCGTCGAAGCGTTCTGCTCCACGTCTCGGCATGAGAGCACGTCGATTTGTTGCTGATCATTGCCCCTGTCAGACGCTTCCAGAACGCGGCGGCGACGGCCACAGAGCGCAGACGAGCACTGTGAGGTTCGCGACAGCAGAGCTGGCGAGCAGTGGAAGGCGCAGAAGGTGGAGGCATCTGCGAACTCAATCCCCTGAGCGTCTTGCAGAGCAGCAGAGCAGCGCCCGATCATCCCCAGCGAGAGCAGTAGGCCCCAGGTCAAGCGCATCGGTTATTCCACCAGGGCAAGTTGCTCAATGCTTTGGTTATGGGCACCAACTGTATTTTCTATTTTCTGTTCGACAAAGGCAACTGTCGTGTTGTTTTTTTCTGATACAAAACCTAAGTGTAAACAGCAAAATTTGCTGCGTCCGAGGTTTCTTTTGGGCAAGTGAAATGGCGGCGCTCAATGATCATTAGATCCGGAGCTTCCTGCCGTCACTACGCACCAACACTTCATAGCTTGTTCTTATGGGTCTGTAGACGGTCAGCGCTATTCTTATTAAACGAATCACAGTGTGTTTGAAACTTTACATTTTAATTCAGCCGCCATGTTCACGGAGTATCTCCACGATTTTCTTATAATCGTTGGACACTGGCAGTACAGTACCACAAATCAAGAAGTTCTTGACGGTCAGTCTGGCCGTCGGAATGATGGAAATTGGGCCAAGTTTTGCCAAGTTACTTGGCACCCATAGCGGGATAATCAGCTGCATGCGCATGGGAAAACTAATAAAAATATCATTAATATGGGTACATGCATTATATTTACGGAATAAATGATTATTGCTTAGGGGTGTATTGGAATTATTAGTACTGCAAATTTAAAAATAAAATCTAGATTTAACAGACTACCAAAAAGCAAGGTAAGCAAATTTTAATTGCATAAAAACAGTATTTTTTGTACGGAACTATTTACTATTGAAATCTGGATATTATAATCTCTATTATCGAGCGAATTTTTCAGCAGTTTAATAAAAGATTTAATTTCTTATGCCCCGGCTTGCACCTGCTAAATAAGCTGGCTGCAAGAAGCATCAACTTAAGGCTCCAATGTACGGAGTAGTAATCGTGCTCTCGCGTTCATTACTCTAGGGTCAGTTTGCTAAGCCTCTTTGCTGGGGTAGTGTTCGCACACGTCGAATCTCTCTCGTCTTATGGTTGAATACGACTATGTATCCGACCTAACTTGAATTTTGTATGGAATAAATAGGCCAACCATCATTTATGCGCAAATAATTGTCCAGTCACATCCCGGTAATTTGTATTTTTGACCAACAAGACAGTACGAGGTTAGGTGAGTCATGTAAGCCAGCCATTCCGACGTATCGGGTCGGAGCAATATGAAAAATATGTGTATCGCAACATATTAGGCAAGTCAACATCGTATCACTTGCATATTTTGCATTTATCCGACAAGAGCAATGGGCTTAGCGGAACTAGAGTGTGGAAACACAAAAAGAGCCAAGGCAACAGCAGTGACAACTTTTAAGAGGTATCTAAAAACGGAGAATATAAGTGATGAGTATGTGCGAACTTGCATTGGACGTGATGAGACTGGAAAGTGTTTCGTATCAGTGATGGATAAGTTTGGTATGTATCTTGCATTTAATGAGGGCAAAAAAGGCAAGCCGTTGGCTAGAAACACTTCGATGCAATACTACCGGCAGGCTAAACTATGGCTACCCGAACAATTCCCTCGGCACAGACCCGCACTTGAGGCTCGGTTGCTTAAAATGGGGAAAACACTGGACAACTTTTGTATGAAGCGAGATGGTGGTGGCTTCATCACCAAAGCCCCACCGTGCTCAAAGGGTGATTTAAAAAGAATGCTTATGTATTTGTATGTTAACGCTAGCTGTCCAAGTGACTGCCTTACTATGCCTGCTGTGGTATCTGTTCGGCCGAGCGTCCGACCTTGCGCATCTTCGGAAGCAGAACTTGTCCATCGACGCGGGAAAGGTACTCTTCGTTCGCTTCATCCGTATGAAGACATCCGAAGAGCAGGGCCTGTCGATCTTCCCTGACGCGGACTTTGCCATGTACCCCCTCCTCGCTGTCGCGCTGGCGCTTCTTACCCAGGTAGCCCCCTCGGCAAACGTTATAGACAACCTGCCCGAGCAGCCAAGTCAATCCGCCATCGAGCTGGCCCCTGACGTGCCGTTGTTGGAGATGTTTGACCATCCGACGACGACGCAAGGCCTGACGGCTCCGACTTCTGGCTTGCACACGATCCCGACCATCTTTGCCCATGTGAACCGTGTACTGGACCGCATCGCCAAGCCGGCAGGTGTCGAGGTTGCGCTGACGTCCCACTCGTTTCGTCGCGGCGGCGCTCAGCATGCAAACGCTTGTGGCCAGCTCACGGCTCGCAGGATCTTCGACCGCGGCGCCTGGAGCATGACAACAACAAATAAAGGATTCAACTACATCTTCAACATCAGCGCAGAGGACCACAAGATTAGCAAGATACTTAGCAGCCACGACGCTGAAGCACCGGTGTTTCTCCAAAAGCTCAAGTCCTTCGACGCGCAGGCGCGTACCAAAGTCGAAGCTGCTCAGCGTATCCTCTTCGCTACCTGCCAAGACCTTGGGACAACAAGCCACAACGTCAACCAGTCCGTTCTTGATGTTCTTATCGTGTGTGTGCCTCGCCACTACCCCTTGCTGAAGGAGCTGAGCCCTGAAGCCCCAGCCGTCAAGCGCATCGAAGCATGCGTCCTTCACAGTGGCTGATCCATCGCAGAATTGCTCGGATGGTCGTCGCACTTGGTATCATCACCCTGCAACAAATCAAGCAACGATACCAAAGCACAACCAACCTCGCAAGACGGCAAGCCAACCGAAGAGACCAGCGACCAGAAGACAATTCGACACCAGGCCGCTGTAATTAACCATTTAATCGAGCACACTCAACGCCAAGATCAGCGCATGGACGCTCTCGAGGCCAAGCTGAACAACGATCCTATGAAGCCTACACACAAGCGCCACCACATACACACTGCAGAAGAGGCTGTCAGTGAACCCAAGAAGAAGCAACGCAGATCTTCAGTCACTCACCTTCATGCTTCGTGGTTTGCTTAATACGCGCAAGAGCCAAGGATGTGGCAAGCACCCATCTCAAAGCAGCAGAATTCGGACGCCAAGCTGCTTGTGGCCTTCATGAAACTCTTCTTGGACGACGGCTTCGAACTTGACACGGCAGCGCATGGCTACCGCGATCAGGCTCTCGACTTGGGCAAACGGGCGGAGGAAGCAGTCCTTGCATTTTTAGCCGAGCGAAATATCACATCGCGCGGGTCAGCCGCCGTCCTCAAGCACCTCCGCACTCTCCATCGCGCGGGAGTCCTGAACAGCAAGATTGAGCGCCACCAGCACCTGCTCCAGAGCGCAGCAATTAGGGATCCCGCCCCTGGATACACACAGGACGTACTCGAGGTAGTTAACAATCCAGACAAACAACAATAAAACAAACCACAGAATGACAGCGGTTGGAGTCGAACCAACATTCTCAGGGCAAGACCCTGCGCTCTATCCATTGAGCTACACTGTCGTATTGGGAGGCTGGAGGGGGGGGACTGACGTGGCGCCGTGTGCACACGCTGCATGCAGCAGTGCAATTTGAGAGGTCTGCGCAGTAGCGTCGAAAAAAGAGCGAGTGACGCCTCGACCTTATTGTCGGGTACGACGTGTGGCTGTGTATCGCCGACTGATAGAGAGATTCTGGCCTGCCAAACGGCAGAATTTAATTGGAAATGACTGCCCCCAATGAAATGCGTTCAGTAGTGACTGGTTGTCGATGTCCAAAAAGTATCCGGACAGTCAATTTATCCGGATGATTGTCAAGTTCAGCTTCATAGATGCTCGTATTTTAATTTGCCATTTTCATGTGACTAAATATCTAAGAGAAATGAGGTCCAAGCCTGAGTTCGGGAATGCAGCGGGGCTGCCGTAGCTTTAGCGTCAGAGGAAGACGTTCGACTCAAAGAGTCACTAATACTAAGTTCCTTATCCAAAGGACACTTACAGCCCAAGACCAGGGCTCAAAGTGAACACCTTAACTTTTATGCTTCAAAACCAGAAGTGTTTTATTTACTATTATTGCGGCCAAGCCGCCTAGGGGTAAATGTATCTGTTTAACTATCTAGCATAGTTAAACCTAATCAAATGCATAACGTGTGGCTTTCGGCCAACGTACTGAGAGACCTTGTTAACTCTCCAACTTATGTACTGAGAGTTTGTTAACTCTCCGGGTACTTCGTACCCCTGTGTGTTCCACACCATGTAACCCCGTTACAGGAAAGGTAGCTTCTGAAGATGCAAGCCAAGACGATGGAGCCACCCATGCGATGATATACGCAGTTGCGAAAACCACGACAAGACTGCTCACGATGTTCTTAAAGTGATTTGCGTTTTTCGATTATTTTCAGAAGAACTGGGATTCTTGCCAAGAACGTTGGGTCTATTATCTTTCGAGCCAAGTTGCTCTACTTCAAGAATCATACTAATAACCGACAGGAAAACGTTTACGGCAAACTGAAAGACGCGGTTAATGGATCCATGAGTATGGCGGCCTGCATAAAAGCCCTGATCGCATATGACCGTCGGGTAGAGAATGAATATCGATACCGGCTATCTCGAATCGGCCAGTTTGTCAATAGCAACTACGACGAGGAGATGCAGAACGTACTCGTTTCACAACTCACTACGTGGTTCGAGAAATTGAAGATCAGTATGCGTCGACTATATCAAAGGCGTTTTCTTACAAGTATATTATAGACTTAAATGATTCAAGCCACGTTGTTGTTACTGAAATTTTATCAGAACACAATTTGCGTACGAATGAATAAAGCTGTGATTGTGAATTAGCAATGCCTCCCTGTCGTCATGCAATTGCATATCGCAAACACTGCAAGGTCATTGGTCCTGTGATTTCGTGGCGTCGGATTGATGAAAGGTTGGTAGGGTGCTTCCATGCTTTTCAATTGTTTTTAACCTTTTAACCCCTCTGATACCGCAAATGGAGTCTCTGAACGTGCAAACATTACGTCGTAACTTACGACGTCCTAATAACAGCATTATTGTTTGGGGGCGCCCCTTTTGCCGTAGGATACATCGGCGATGGTGAATAAAGTTTTGAAGTGTTTGGTCTTCACATGTCGTATACTTACGACCTCTTCTAAACGCCAACGCATAGAGAAGTCTCAACTTACGACTTCTACTAAAGCCTGATTCAAGAAATGTACTACCCACGTACAAAATCAATTACATAAAACAACGACACTCGAGATACTACAATCAAACCCCCGTTTTATGGCGTTTTAAAACGTTAGCTACATACGCAGTTTCGCCCTCGTCATCAGCATCGTCCTCCTCTTCCCGCAACAACTCACGGCGTGTTTTCTTGCGCGCTCCAAACTTGGCCGGACGTCGAAACACAACTCGTTTCCCAAGTGACTCAGGAATTGATTTTCCACACTCAAAATCTTCATGCCAAATCTGGAAGCATGTTTTCGCGATTCCATTGTACTCACGCCGAGCTTTCGGGCAGAGGAAAAATTTGGCCTCGCCGCTGGAGCAGTCTTCACAGTAGAATGTCGTCTGGAAAGATTTTTTTCTTTCACCGCGAAGAAGTGCGCATACCTTACACGCACGCTGTCTACGCTTTTGAACGCCGGACACAATGACCCAGTCATCGTACTGTTTGTAGATGTGCTGTGGGAGGCGACGACGTTTTTGCCTGGAGGGAGCGGATGACTGTGGAGTTGCTATAGGATCCAAGTCGAAATCCTCGGGTTTTAACTGCAGGAGCTGGTTGTGGAGGACAGCCATCCACGCAGCACGAGACATTGGCGCAATTCTCACGGCCCGGCATACCTACTTGTGTGTGATAAAAGCATTCACGATCGCCAGATCTAGGAAGCCTAAAAATAAGGACTTGTAGTACTTTCGAAACCGATAAGCCATTTGAATTTGAGAACGACTGCAGGCGGAGTTGATCATGAATATCAACTCCGCCCATCCACCGCTGATAATCGGTCACTAGCTTGGGACACTTCACAGTAATCGCCCCAATTTGTTTCACATTGCGCTGAATCGTATCCTCCTCCATCGATGCACCCGTGGCCAAATAATGGACTGGCTTTCTATCCCACCAGTGGCACGCAACCATTGTAGGTGCTGCCTCGCAGCGCGAGAGCGTAAAGGTTCCTCTCTCAACTCCACTCCTGTATCAGGCCCGGCATTCTCCTCGTTAGCATCACTGCTGCCGTCAAACAGGGCATCCAGCGTAGGCGCGGACAACATCAGAGAGCAGTCAATTTGAGAAGGACGGACGTTTTCATCTGACTCCTGTCCGTTGTCGTCACTGCTTTCGTCCAGATTGATCAGCCCAGACGAAATGGCATATCTAACAGCCGCGTCCTCGCCTTTGAGCATGCATACAGTTAGTACTTAGATATAAAACCCTTCCAAAGATTTGCTTACCAGTGAACATGTTTGTCCCTTCAACCAGCTCCTGCGAGTCACGATTTGGAGCGAAGTACATCCACTCCGTAGCAAGCCGCGTCGGTCTATTTGACGTCCGCCCGACCGCGCGGAGCTGCCGCCAAAGACGCCTGAAGTCTACCGAACGCGCCACCGCAGCATCTTTTGTCACCGTACTCGTTCGCAACCTCGCCATCTATCCACTTGCGTGACAGAGCTCCAATTTTCAAATGAGCACGTCTGGAACCGTGGAGCCACTCATCACTGGGTACGGATCAGCATTTCCCGCATAACCCTTTCCACCGCCCGTTTTGTGCACATGCAAGTTTGACCTGTGTGACCTTATACCTTTTGGAGCAGAAATTACACTTGATTAAACTAATGGAACATTTTTATCGAGCCATTTGCTATTGTTGGTGTTGCTAAAGTCGTATCTTACGACTTTGTAGTTTTGTGAAGTCGTAAGATACGACCTTGGTAACAGAGGGGTTAACATGTAAGTTCCCCAGTAGTAATACTGGATCGTTTCGTGATTTAAATTGTGATCATCCACGAATTTTAGATGGACGTGTCCCTCTCAAGCGCTAAAAAAGATAAAACAATTCTGCTATGAGAAGTTTACAGATGCTTCACAGGGGTCTTCATTTAAAAAACTCAAAACACATTCTGAACGATACAAAGAAGCGATGAGAGCTACTCATCTTATTGCCAGCGAGATGGCGGACGTAGAAGACGAGGATGAATTCAATGAGATACTACAGTTAGTATTGAACCAATGGAGGAACGTCCGCCAACGAAAAATTAGCTCAAGAGCTTGTTCCACTGACACTGTAGCACAAGTTAGCGAAACAAGTCGACCCGTCCGCCTAATCGACAGCGACGACAATTTAAAGGCCGAATTTGATATAAGTTCTAGTGAAGACGAAAACATAAGACCGCCTGACCATCAAAAGTGTGGTGAAATAGCTGAACCCCAAGGCGAAAAAGGTCGAGAGACCTTAAAAAACAAAAGAAAAGTACACGTGCTGGTGAAAAAACCATTAAAACATTTACCAGGCTTCTGAGATGGGACGCAAGGTCGCTGGAGAAGTCACTCTGCTCGCTTTAATTATTTCGCTTGATCGAGAGCAGCCTGGTTTAAAGAAAACTCAAAGACAATTATCAGGAGTTCTGGTTAGACACGGGGAGGCCGAGAACAAGAAACCCAAGTACAAATGCGTAAAAAAATCCTGTATTGATACAGGATCTGTTCTACACGCTTTTGCTTGATGCCTGCATCAAAATCCTCCCACTTTCTTACAGTGAAAACAACGCCATATCGGTAGATGAATCTCAGCCCAGTCAAGAACCCGCAGCAGCAGAACATGAAGCAGTGCAGATTATTTCGATCGAAGATGTTGGATTGTTTCAATGAGACAGATTGAGACTGCACAATCTCATGGAGGTGGTAGCACATGGGATATATATGCATAAATCGTTATTACAAGAAGGAATCCCTCCCTCCCGGCAAAGTTCCATACAGCCGCGACCTCTCTAGCTGAGGAAGCGCTGGCGGCGTACCCGAAAAAGCGAATTGAAGGTTTCCCCAAACCCCCTGACTTTAAATACGTTTTGCTTTACAGAGCTACTCATCCAGCCTGGTTAAATGACGCTTCGATAAGAGCTTTGTGCGTACAGCTTTGTCAAAACTATTCCTCGCGCAGATTTGCAGGCTTTCAGTCAGCAGTTGCAAAAACGAAGCGAACGCGTACTGATGAACCTGTAGCTGACGATATTACACGCGAGCGAGTTTTAAGTCAAGTACGTGAAGATGCGGTCGATGCGGTATTGCTACCGTTAAACTTCTCCAATGCTCACTGGTGCTACGCTGTCGTGAAAGTCAAGGCGAAGCGTATCTGGATTACGATCCTTTAGATTTGACACCCTACTCAATACAGTAGCAACCAGTCTCAGGGTTGGTGGACTTACCACGTACGACGCGATCCCACAGAACAACCCCATCCAGCTCGACGCATTCAGCTGTTATGTCTATGTTTGCTGGATGTTTATCCGACAGGTTACTAGAGGGCATCCACTGGATATGAGTGCGGCATCTTCACGAAACGGCGCTTCGAGCTATTCTACTAAAAGTCAGCTACTACCTATGCAAGCACCGTCGGTACTCTCTAGTGTGGGATGTGATGAGACGGAGGAAAAGTCGCTGTTCCCGTCTGTGATGATTAACGTCTAGACAACGACGGAGAACAAGTCCCATTAACGCAGATCTAGGAGTCGTTTTTGCGAGATGGTACTGGTTTAAGAGTAATAATAACGAATCCATGTTTATTCAGCACATATCACGCTGAAATTTGCCTTTGAGAGTGCATCAAAAGCTTAACTAGGTAAATTACAAGTTGGTGAACACGTCGTGACGGAAATCGTACAAAACAAAGTCGCTAAGTGATCTATCCATGATTTTGGGCTGGTTTAATCACAAGATGAATCATGTATATGGCTACTATCATTAGAGAGCAAACTTTCCACTCAGGATTTAATCCTAGAACTTGCAAGATGCATACTTTTTGATTTTGTACTGTACATGTACTGCAATGTAAATTATTAGTACAGAATTTTGCAACGAAAAAAAAATAAATCATACTTGAAGTATTTTATTTTCCACCTCTGATAATGAATATCAAGTACACCGTATTTAATTGGTTACATCGTGCACAACATGTATTATCCCGGCCACCAAACCTTGGAAAGCCTAAGCACTCTTTGACATGATAACGAACTCCTCCTTTCCATAGATGCGGTGCAGAGGCCTTCTTTTGGCGGAGGAACTCGTAGGTCTTCACAACCAAGTACTTCTCAGCAGCAGTCAATTTCTTACCGGCGACCATTTGAAAAGTAGTGAACATTATTAGATGCTGTGAAGTTCTTACGAGAATAAATAGACACCAAGCTATCTATTAAGGGGACACACAACGAAATCGGCTCTACGGTTGCGGAGTTACATTCCTCTAATTTAAGATAAAATATATTACCATTTTTGTCCAACCGGGACAATAACATTGATTTAGCAACAGTGCCATGTCTATGCCGGCTGAACCAACTGCCATGTCACATGGCGCTGTAGTGTTGTGCGTTGGCCACTTGTGTGAGCGCTCCCTGAGGCTTAGTCTGAGCGGGGAGGCTTTAGCTAACAACCGGCCAAATGCCGGCAGCAAAAGGTGCCGAGTTTCTGATGTCGATGGAGGCCGCGCCGTGTCCACGACGTTGGGGGCTTCATTGTCTGCAGACGTTTCTTCTCACCAGCATGCTGTACGTTGCGCTGACGATGGGCTGGGTCATTTGCAGCATGCATTCAACCGGCGGTCAGGGAGACTCGGTTTCGATTGGGTTTGGCACGGTTTTGGAGAAGATGCATCATCCGGTGACGAACACGCTTCAGAAACTTAAAGATAAAGTGGAGGAGATGCATCGCACACCGACACCGCGGGAGCTGGAAGAGGTGGAACACGCGCGCTCCGTCCCGAACTTGCCAAGTGGTCAAATTCAGTTGAGGAATATCACGTGTATCGGGTGGCGAGCCACAGGCAATTGCCAGTCTGATGGGCCACGAGAGGTTTCAAATGACCTGGACTGTCACCAAGAAGTCCCCGACGGAAGCTCAGGGTACTGCGAGGTGCAAGACGCCAATACAGGAGAACTATTCCGCGTTATGCGACGGACGTGTGCGAAATACAAAAAGTCGCACGTGTTCCGATGCGCTGATGCTCATCAGTTCGTCAACTACCACGTCGAAGCGCTCGCTGCTGTCAAAACCGCGATAGAACCGGATTTCTCGCTACCCAATGTACAGTCTAATAGCCAGGGACGAGATGGAATTGTCATGGTCGTGTACCCCAAATTGATTGCTAGCGCGTATGCTACTATCCGCACTCTGCGTGACGTGCTCGGTTGTAGTCTTCCCATTGAAATTTGGTTTCGACAAGACGAGATTGATCGGGTACCGAGATCAATCAGCCCACTTCAACAACTAGCACAGAATGTGACTGTAAGCCAGATTTTCTTTCGAAAGATCAATGACTCTCAGGCTGTTCGATTCGGAGCCAAGATATTTGCCCTGTACAACAGTGGATTTGAGCGCATTCTGTTCCTCGACGCTGATAACGTGCCTGTGCGAGACCCGGCGTCCTTGTTCAAATCTCCTGAATTTGAGAAGACTGGTGCTGTCTTCTGGCCAGATTACTGGAACCCGCACTACACGATCTTTCATCTCCATGAAGACTCGTTGCTGTGGGAACTTCTCGACATGCCTTACGTCGACATGTTTGAACAAGAAAGCGGGCAAATGCTAATTGACCGACGAAGGCACGCGGCACCGCTCGAGCTCGTCCGCTTCTTTGCGTTCCACCAGCCGAACCCTCTCGAAAAGCTCAAGCTTTTATGGGGGGATAAAGACCTTTTCCGCTTTGCTTGGATAAAGCTAAACGTCCCATTCTACATGATCCAAACGCCACCCGCTGTCGCTGGTGCAGTGAACGGTACCTCATTTTGTGGTATGACGATGGTACAGCATGATGCAGAGGGTAAAGTAGTATTCCTACACCGCAACGCCAAGAAGCTTACGGGCGAAGTTCTGTATAAGCCTGTGAACTATCACATTGAGGCCAGGAAGCGTCTCAGGTCGAGGTGGATTAAGCAGGGTATTCACAAGATTGCAACCGAGGAGGAAGTGGTCGCAGAGCTCATGACGATGAAGAAAACGCCACCACCACCTCTTGAACCCGCCGAGCCTGATGGAATTGCGGACCAGATCATTTGGACGCATATGTTGTCGTTCCGCAAAGACGCTCCTCGCTCGGAGTACAAGGTCAAGTCGTTCTCTGCATCACCTGACTTTCCTGAGAAACAAAGGTGTTACGGTGAGCGTGACTTTGCTAGAAGCAAATACTTCGACATGCAGAGTTTCGATGAGCTGAGTTTTTCGAAGCTTGAATCGCATGTGCGGCGCTTTGCCATGGAAGCTGCACAAATTCGCCACGGTTAGCAACATGAAGGCGCACATTTAAATTATTGACGCTATAAAATGAAAACATATACAAGTACGAAGTAAATAGCCAGTTACATTTTGGATGTGTGCGAGCTCGGCTTATGCAAAAATCTTTGTTCAAGATTTAGTAGTTTACCTCGTACCACCACTCGATACAGCTAAGCTTAAATCTTACTACAAAAAGAAATCTTTGTTACTATAAATACGCTACAAGTAGTAACAAAGATTTCTTTTAGGGAATTTAATAAGCGCGGTAAATGTATTTTTTAAACTTGTTCTTAAAATATTGTGCCTATCACCAAACGCAGACAGCGAAAAGATTGCGTGAGAAAAATAACGGCTACGCGGATCGTTAGAAACAAGATGTCCGTTTCATCATCGTCATCGCGTACGCCACAATTTCATCAAACATCAAACCACCGGTACAGTACCATCGCCATCGCCATAGATTGCAATCGATGTAGCCGAGCACTATTACATGTAACAAGCAACAGGAGAAGCGTAAGACGGCAACGACAAAATTCCAACCAGAAGGACGATTTGTAAATGTAAGACATGAGCAAAACTGTACGCTACGCTGCGTATTAATAATACCGCGGGGTTTGTCGTAGGTACAATTTTACACTGTGAATTACAGACTGTGACCTATTTAAAACTGTACGCTTGTCGCGGATTCCAACAAATGCGTGCCGCACGCTCAAGCCTCAGAAAGGATTGGCAGGAGAAAATCCACAATCCGGGTCGCGGTTATAGCGAGGCTTCACCCTGAGTGGTCCCGATGAGCTGCCGTATTGATGCTGTCACTGCTTCAAGCGCACTAGCAAGTGCACTAGATCACAGTAGATTCACTCGACTTGAGACTGCAAAACCGGAAGCAATGCTACCTGCACTACCTGTGTTCAGTCGACCACAGCACGACACGAAGCTGCCCATCAAAGGATATTCAAGTCCCATTCGCGTTCTGTTCGAACGTGTAGTGCGGTGTGGGCAACGTTGGCCTCGCGCTCTACTGTTTATATCTGCGTTGATTTACGTATCTGCGCTGATTACTTGGGCATCTAACAACTCGGACAAGCACGACGCAACCCCAGTTAAGATTTTACCATCTGGGGAGGTGGTGCCACGACGTCTTCGGTGTGTTGCATGGCGAGCGACTGCCAAGTGCAGACCAAACGGACCTCGAGAGCCCCAAAACGACAAGAAATGCTCGGACTTCGTTGTCGGTGACGTGTCAGGCTTCTGTGAAGTGGAAGACATTGATACAGGGGAGCGATTCCAAGTCATGCGCCGACATTGCAACAGTTTAAAGGGGAACATTAAATTCCGTTGTTCGGACGCTCGAACTTTCGTCAATTATCGTGTAGACGGGCATGGCGCAGTTGCCAAGGCTCTTGTCCCTGGCTTCTCGTTGCCACACGTGGCTGAAAACAGCGAAGCTCCTCGCGATGGCATCGTAATGGTAGTCTACCCAAAGTTGCTCGCCAGCGCCTACGCAACGGTCCGGGTTCTTCGCGAAGTAGTTATGTGTCGCTTGCCTATTGAGATTTGGTTCCACGTCGACGAAATCGGAGCCGACTATGCGCTATTGGTGCCGCTGCAGCAGCTCGCCATTTTCGTTGGCAACGTCTCATTCCACCCAATGTACAACCCACGTGCAAAGGGATTTCTATCCAAGGTCTTCGCTATATACAACACCTACTTCGACCGCGTCCTCTTCTTGGATGCAGACAACGTACCTGTGCGTGACCCAAGCTTTCTCTTTAGTACACCCGAATTCAAAGCAAATGGTGCTGTGTTCTGGCCTGATTTTTGGCACCCGCACCGCACGCTCTTCAACTTGCACGCGCAATCGATGCTGTGGGAACTACTAGATACCCCGTTTATTGACATGTTCGAACAAGAGAGCGGTCAGTTGCTGGTGGATCGCACTCGACACGCTGCTCCGTTAGAACTCGTCTACTTTTACGCATTCCACGAGCCTAATTTCTTCGAGAAATTGGATGTTGTCTATGGCGACAAGGACTTGTTTCGGCTTGCGTGGATGAAACTCAAAGTTCCATTTCATATGGTTGAGGCACTTCCAGCAATGGCAGGCAGAGCAATCAACGGCTCATTCTGTGGTATGACGATGGCACAGCACGATACTAAAGGTGAAGTGCTGTTCCTGCACCGCAACCAGCACAAGTTGACTGGGGAACGCGATGAAAAGATGGAAAAAGCAGCGTCAGAAAACACTGTCGTCCCTCCGGATGAGGCCCTTGGAGCTCCACACCCAGACGGATACCCAGATCCAGTGATCTGGACGCACTTGCTGTCATTCCGTAAGGATGCGAACCGCAAACTCTACACAATCGACGCGTACCGAGCTTCGCCCGAGTTTCCGCAGTGGCAACCATGCTACGGTCGGCGATACGAGGAGCAGCAGAAAGTGTTCGAGCTACACGAGTTTGCCAACCTCAGCTTTGCCGGTATCGAGACGGACATTCGTCACTTCGCCTTGGATGCAGCCCGACTTCGTCACGCTCAAAACGTAGCGTGGGTAGGAGCAAGTCCAAGCAATTCTACAGCGTAGTAACGTCAATGGGTTAGATAATTTTAGTACTCTATTAGTATTCTATACGCGCTCTAGTGAGGTTGGCTGCCGATTTTCAAGTAGCTGAGCTCCTTCCATGGCAAAGTGCCGCAGGTGTGTCTCCAAACCGGCAAAACTCAGGTCTGCAATTTTCTGAGCGAAAAAGTGCTCGCTGTCGCTGATATTGCGTTGTCCGTAGCATCGTTGCCACTCGGGAAAATCCGGTTGAGCAGTGTAGGATCGGATTCGGTAGTCCACGCGACGCGACGTGTTTCGAAATGTCCACAAATGGGTCCATATGGCTGGGTCGGGCAGATTATCTGGTTCAGGGGGCTCCAGTGTCGGTGGAGGCGTTCGTTTTAGTATCTTGAGTTCAGCTTGCACCTGCTCATCATTTATTGTAGCAGGAAGTCCTTGGTCCAAGAGTTTCAAGCGTGCCTGTCTTCGTGCTTCAACCTCGTAGTTGATTTCTTCCCGCTTCACGCGTCCAGTTAGCTTATTGGAGTTGCGATGAAGGAAAAGTACTTCGCCGTTTGCATCATGTTGCACCATTGTCATACCGCAAAAAGACTCGTTGACAACCTTGCCGGCGACAGCGGGAGGGGTCTGAACCATGTAGAACGGCACATTCAACTTGATCCACGCGTACCGGAAGAGGTCTTTGTCGCCATATACGAGCTTAAGCTGGTCAAAATGATTTGGCGTGTGGAACGTGAAGAAATTTACAAGTTCCATAGTAGCCGTGTGGCGACGGCGATCAATTAGCAATTGGCCACTTTCTTGCTCGAACATGTTGACATATTTCATGTCCAAAAGTTGCCACAACAACGAGTCTGCCATGATGTGGAAAATTGTATACTGCGGGTGCCAGAAATCCGGCCAGAAGACTGAACCCGTCCTGACAAACTCCTCCGATTCAAACAAAAACGTCGGGTCACGGACCGGGACATTGTCAGCGTCGAGGAACAGCACCTGATCAAACGCACTGTTGTACACAGCATACACTTTTGCCGCAAAGCGAAACGCTCGTCGGTCTGTAATCTCTCGAAACGTAATCCCACGCTCTGCTTCTTTCTTTGCTAGCCCTTTTAATGGCTCTAGAGCCCCCGGTACCCTCATCAACTCATCGCTACGGTACCATATTTCGATCGGTAGGCGACAGTTGAGTACCTCTCTCAACATTCGAACCGAAGCATACGCACTCGCCAGCAGAGTCGGATACACCACCAAAACGATACCCGCTTTCGGCTTCTCGCTCTCCATAACATTAGGCAGATGATACCCCGGTGCAATGGCCTTCTCCACGACTTTCCGCCCTTTTGCATGAAAATTCACGAAATCCGGTGCATTCGAGCAGGAAAACTTGGCTCCTTTCTTGACAGTACTACACCCGCGTTGCATGACGCGGAACCTTTCGCCTGACTCGACGTCTTCGATCTCACAGTAGCCTGAAGCCCCATCCCCCACACGTCGGTTGCATGGTTTATCGTTAGCCAAGTCGCGCGCTCCATCCGCGCTGCAATCGGTCGTGGCTCTCCAACCAATGCACTTGAATTGACGTTCAACCGTCGCCCCATCTGGTAGAGTTTTGACGGTTAGTGCATGAGCCTGCGCTTCTAATTCCTCCGGTGTGGGAGTGTGTTGTCCATTGGTGAAGAGGCGTACAATCGACAAGGGGAGACTCTCGGAGGTGGACGAGATGTCGTGGACGCTGCTGGCGACCCACAGTAACATGACGAGAGTGTAGAGCACGCTCCCCACCAGCATCAGTCGTAGAATACCTGGGCGGCATTGTGGAGGCGTAGCAGGCAACTTGATGGTCGAGTCCGCCATGACGTCGAGGTGCCGAACAGTGAGCGGATGGATATGCGAATAGGTACAAGGCACGCACTGCGAGCACACGGCAGAGTGCTCCGTTATCCTATCCTGCGTCACGGACGGAATCAGCTGATTGAACAACCAGCCAAATCACGGGATTATTGAGACGGGATCAAGATAAAGTAAGCTTATCCGATAAAAAACGGACGGCGTACTGCAACTCGTCAACGACAAGACAACAGCTCTATAGCAACGCAACAGACCACATCGACACAAGGAGAGCCACAGAGAGCAACATTTGCTAAATAAAATACGCTCGTGGCGTTATTTAAAAGAGATAAATGACGGGAACCGTAAAAGTTTCTGGCCCCCTATTGTGAATTTCTTAGTAGATCGCAGTCGGCCGTTTTAGAGGAGACAAGTATGAGCGAAGACGACATCAGCCACGCCAACCTTCTTAAGAGCGCTATTGCTAGTCACCTAGCGCCTTCGGGGTATCTAGAGCTAACTGCAGCTCGCCGTGGTGAAGCAGAGACTCTTCAAACTCACCAGGCCAAGCTTTGCCAAAAGCTGCTTCAGTCCCGGCTTCAGCAGATTGAACTAATGGAAGGGAATCTTGGAAAACTGGCCAAGTACACGGCGAAGCTGTTAAATGCGCACGATGAGCTAGCTACATTGATCTCACTCGAAAAGGAGGAAACCACCCGCATTGCAGCCGTGACGGGGGTTCCTATTCGCAGCTCAAAGTACGTCATGTCTTACTCGGTTGTGCTGGAGGAGTGTTGCAGCTCAATGTTAGGCCACACGCAGCATTGAGAATTTGAGGACCAGAGTGGGGTTATTGAGTAAGAAGTTTACAATTAATTGGCTTCCGAAACACAACATGCTACGTCTTAATTGTCGCCAGTAATTCCAGATCTGTGTCTTGGACCGCCTTCGCTGCCTTGTTTTTTCTCGTGGTTACCTCGGGTTGCCTTAAGATCATCTACATAATGCGAAGACGCATAATAGTGACGTCGTCATGGCTTACAGCACATCGGGTAAATTGCGAGCTATTTTTAAGCATCGTATACACTTGGGCGAGTACTAGCACACCGCAAGAAGTTTCGTCGGGCTGCTTCGGTCCGGAAAGCCACACGGTCTCCTCAACGATTGGATATGGCTCTCCCAGCATGGTGGAATCGTGCCAAACTCTTAAAAACTCGGCCACTACTGCCTCGTAGGTGTGCTCAAGAGTGTCGTTGTATGACGTAGAGCACAATGGTTCGTAGAAATACGGTGTGACTGTCGCCATCTCCGTTCGGTATGAAATACTGACAATAATCACACCCCAGTGTATGTCGCTCAAATGGACAGGCAACACAACGTACTTGCAGCTATCAATAGGGATTTCTGGTGGCCTCGGACAGCCCAATGACGGTGCGAATGAGTCCAAAGCATAGCAGCTACCAATCGATTCGCAAATGCATCGAATTCCAAAGTCGATATTCGTATCACTCAGCATACGATCTCGGGCAATCATGCCAACCAATTTCTCCACCATGACGGTTCCCTCGCCACAATCAAGCCGAAAGATTGAGCTTAGACAAGCGCTTTCCAGCACACGCACGATGTCGTCCGTCAGTTGCTGATGTCTCACTGGAACAACGTCAGGCATTAGAGCAGCAGTTCCGGTCTCCTCGTCGAATATCTCCGGGTGTGCGAGGATCTTTTTCCACTTTGTCGATAACAGCCACTTCACATCTGCCATCCATGAATTGAACTTCTTGACAAGACTGAAGTACTCAACCATTCTGAAGACCCCACCACTAGTAACAACACAGAAAGCAACACACCCCGTGAGCAACACATCAAGCAACACAGAGCTCCAGCAGCACATGAAGCAGCACATGAAAAGCACAAACCTAGTAAAGCGCGGGGTACCACCAGGAAAGAAAGCTAAGACTTAGTTCGTGGACCCCTCCGGATGTTCGACATCTTGATGCTCATTAAAGTACTTTGATCCTTGACGTTTCTTCTTTTCGACAGCAACCACAGCGTTTAATTTAACGACAAGGTTCTGAGGAATCACGAAATTGTAGTCATAGTCAGCCGTACAAACTAATTCACGACAGCTGCGAGGAGTTCGGGCGCTCATGAAATCGTCATCCATGATCACAGGGTAGTTTCCGAGTATCTCGCTCACGTGATACGGGTCAGTCGTGTGGTTCACCCATTCCAATAGTCGCGAAAGTGACGGTACGTTTTTGTCCGGAAGCGCAATTGTAACGGGGTACGTAGCACTAAGTGTACCCTGGTTACATGAAGTGTGACACTTCACACTTCAGGAGTATGACATGTCATACTCCGGGATATTTGGTACAAGGTACCAAGGTCATTCAAAACCAACCATTGGTTAAATGACATTGCATTTCTATAGGTAACTGATAGTTTGTATTAACCTCAAACTTAACCTACCTATAAATATACTCAGTTTACAATCTACCTTATTTAGGTCACTTCGCTCTCTTTAATTAAAGAGGGGACCTGTGAACTGCCGTTCACTGAGAGTTTGTATACTCTCGGAAGATAACTTCCTCTAGCGCAAGGTGCTGTGTGACCCCGTCACACTTGGTAGCACTTGTAGTCAATCCACGCCATCGCGGGTAGACTACCTGAACCTCCGAAGTTCGTTGCCATGGATAGGAACGACTTCTCCCATATGAACGACTCTCAGTTCGAGTCGGTTCGGAAGATGGCAGGCATCTTCGGGATGGAGGCCCTGCAGAGCCTGGTGGTATCAGCACCGGCTGAGCAGCTCGAGCGCGTCAATGCATTCGACGCGTACGAGCAGGGCCTCATCGCGCATGTGCGGGAGAACCTGCAGGCTCCGGCGGCGGAAGCAAACCCGCCTCACCCGAAGCCAATACGGCTGAAGGTAAAGCCGTATGAAGGGAAGGAAGGCGAGAACCTTCACTTCTGGGTCCGAGAAGTAGAGCTCGCGATGGACGCGGCTCTGATATCGACCGAGCAACTGCGTGTTGCTTTTGCACTCTCCAACCTTAGCGGTCGTGCTAAGAGTTGGGTGTACACTCGGGAAGCGACATCCCCTGGATGTTTCACATCCTGGGCTCAGCTGTGCGAACAGCTCCGAGCCGCGTTCCTCCCGGCGAACTACGAGTACCGCCAGCGTTCGCGCTTCCTCGCGTGTAAACAAGGAAGACGCGAACTGCACGAGTATGTGCAAGAGATACGGGAGCTCACGGCGTCCCTAGTGGGAAACCCACTCAATGAACACATCAAGATGACTGTGTTCATGGACGGCCTTCGAGTGGGCCCCGCACGCACTCAGCTGTTCCGGGTGCAGGCAAGCACCCTTGAAGAGGCGATTCAAGTGGCTCTTCAAGAAGAGTACAGCCATCGCCAGGCGCGTACGCCGGCCTCAGCGTGGCCTGGGAGTTCCTTGTCGGCTCCCGGTCGAACAAGCCCCAACGGACCAGTTCCCATGGAACTCGGGTCCGCCGAACAGCGTGACATCCACTGCTTCGGCTGTGGGAAGATGGGCCACTTCAAGCGCGACTGTCCCGCGGAAAGACCCCGCAGACGGTCCTTCCCCAAGCCCGTCCTCAAGGGTCGCTGGCAGAAGCCAGGATCCCGGGGACAGGGGAACGCCGGGAACCTGTAGGGGCGGGGCGCCCTACTGGGGAAGAACTAAGTCTTCGTGATTGGTGCGCGGGTGGCGCGTACCACGGGGACTTAGCCCCTGAGAGTCTTCGCACTCTCGAATCGGCGAAGAGCAGCGGCGGGTTGCTCGTAGTACACGGATGTGTACGGGGATACGATCATCCCTTTAGAATCTTGATCGATTCTGGGGCGTCGAAGAATTTCGCACGCCGCCAGACGGTTGCTCGCAACAGCAACAAATTGTCCGATGCTTTGAGAGAAAGCAAGGGCAACGGGACGGTGTCAGTACGACTGGGAAGGACGTCACTGTCCCCAACGTCTAAGTGGATCTGGCTGTCAAGTTCGAAGACTTTGACAGCCTCGAACAGTTCACTGTTCTCGATATGGATCCATATGATATGATCCTGGGCATGCCCTGGCTTGAGAAGCACGAGCCCTGGATCGACTGGCGAGGCAAGGCAATCGGTGCCAGCCGCCCTGCGCAGTCCGACAGAGCATTGGTGAGTCATGTTCCCACCTCTGTCAGGACCCGGGGCGCCCGCGAGGGCTGCCAGGGTACCAAAGCATCCGGCAGATGCTTGGGAGTCGTCGACGTATATGACGACTCCGAGGATGTTTTGATGGTGGCCGCGCCCAGAAGAGGCGCCGGCCAAGTGGGTAACTTAGGTCCACAGGCGGGTAACTTAGTTCCGCAGACAGCTGCAGCTGTCATGAACACTGAGAACAGCGTGTTCAGAGTGGGTAACAGAGTTCCACTCACGGTCGCCCAGACCATAACTGAAGAGGAAGACGTCGGATACGCTTCCTGTGTGGGTAACACAGTGCCACACACGGTCGCCCAGACCATAACTGAAGAGGAAGACGTCGGATACGCTTCCTGTGTGGGTAACACAGTGCCACACGCGATCGCCCAGACCTTAACTGAAGAGGAAGGCGTGGAACACGCTTCCTGTGTGGGTACAACAGTACCACACGAGGCCACGAGTGCCTCGGATGTCGTAGCGACGACATCCCTAGACGTGGGCAGCAAAGCTCCCCGTCACAGAAGCCGTCGGCAAAGACGCCGCCGCCGCCTCAAGTCAAATCCGAACTTCGTTCCGATCGACGTCGCTTCAAGCGACTCGGAGTCCAGGGCCCGGGCTCCTCCGACAAGGCCGGTGGAAGAGTGTTATCACATCTTCGATAGCGAGACGGGTTTACCCGTCAAGGCATCTGGTGTCCACTTGGAACCGTTGCCAGAGGTTGCAGAGATACTGAACCTCGAGGAAATGACGGCTGAGTCTTTCCTGGCCAACCTCAAGGCTGGAGAGATCGCTGAGATGGTACTCATGAGACCTGAGACCACTCAGGAG